AATGATCATTCGGCCCCCAAGTCGTGTTGGATCATATTGATCCAATATGATCGTTATCTTATCGTCACGTGACTTGTACCATAGTTCTTCCGTTTCCGAGCGAGTCCCTGTTGTTCCCGTGATCCTGCAATACAAATGTCCTGTCCTAGCCGCTTGATGCCCAAGTGGGTCGGTTAACTGTTATCCTGCATAACGGGTCGTAACAATCAACAAGAGCCCACATCTTCTCCTCACGATCTTTATCCCACTAAGGGTGTGAGACCTTTTCAATGGCATGAATAATAATAACAGTATCGTTGGGAGTTCTCAAACGAGCCCTTTGATGACTCAAAACGTTTGCGTCCCAGTGCCACTCCTCATCAATGATGTACTCAAAGGTGACATCGCAGTATCAGTAAAAAAGCTCCTTGATTACGTCTCCTTGACCTCGTTTTAGAGCCAATCCAAGCAGTCTTTGAACGAGACCCCTCATCTTAACATGACTTCTACCATTTTGACCTTGCCCGTCATGATTGCGAGAGAGACTAGGGAATCGTGAGGTGCTTCTGTATGAAAATCGGGTGAAAAGTCTCCTTATAGTAGAGCCTCTACTAAGTCGACAAGCCCACGAGATATCGCGTAGTAGGCGTTATTGCACGGTACAGATTGAAGAAAGATTTCTTCGCCAAGCTATGGTGAAAAGAACGAATGATCGAAACGATTCTGTATCAAATTAAGCCGTCGCTCCGCGAAGTGGGTAAAAGTCGCGGTCGTGTGGCTGATGGAAGTTCAGGTTCCAAATCCAGTGACGACACCAGTGACGACATATGGCTGGGGACTTCATGAGAGTAGCTATAGTCTTAATAGCCCGTTGGGAGTGCTGCCCCGATTCAAGATGCATGACCCAAAAATTGCAGGCATATAGCATTAGTGGAAGCGAAGAAGTAGCCCAAGGTTGAATGGAAATTTGATATGAGTGCCGTATATAGGCCATGCAACTTTCGACAATCTTGGAATGAGATAGCTCCGCCTCAAGTGGTAAGTACGAGACCTGAACGGAGAATTGTCGGTCGGCTAGGAGATATTCCTTGACAGAGAAATGAGCGATGGAGAGGATGTGTTTCTTGGGTGGTATTGCTTGACTTTCCGGTAGACCAGGCTGTACAGTAACAAGTCCCGAAAGAACCTCTACGATAGAGTTCGGGGATCTTCTTCGATCGGGATCAACCGGAGTCATGTGCGCTGGATCTATGACGCTGGCCTCTGCGATTTCCTCCACAAACATAGGTTTCGAGGCGAAACACAGCCACTGTAGAGCTGTGACTGCTTCCTTCGTGTAAAGAATGTCCCGTCGACCAAGAATGCGATCGTAAGTCCCATACAAGTCTTGCGGGAGGCTATTCAAAATTTGTCTCATATCGGAGGGGTCAAAAATTTTCAGCGTTTGAAGACAGTCCATTTGCAGCGCCGTCCATCTGAACCTAAGATTACACCTTTCTTAACTATCACTGCTTATGTTTCGTGCGAAGACGAGCGGACTCACATTCCTGAGACTGAGAAGCCAACTTGTGTACTATTTCGTCCTTCGTCTGGTCTGGCAGTGACTTCAAACCAGCATGATTAGATATCTGACTGGTAGTGTAAGCCTTGATGTCCGACACAATGCAGGCTTGGTTCATGCTGGAGCGGCTCCAGCCCTGCGTGACGGGAAAGTTGATTGTGATGTCCCTTTCATATCGACTTGTCATGAGGATGTGAACGTGACCAGACGGCCCGACCTCTACCATTTCTCGAACCAGGCCGAACATCGAATCTCGACAACAGCCGTAAGGAAGTTCGTCCAAGCCATCAAACACCAATAATATCTCTCTTGCCCTAGCATCTGTAGCAGGAGGCATTCTACGGGATATCATCTCTTTCCCTTGCAGAAGCAAGATCAGCATGGCTTTAAGCTCACGTGAGGAAGCGTTCATTGGGAATGAACGTGAGTACAATTCGAATTTCTGACGGCATCGCGTTGCCAAACAGCTGGCGCAACAACGAGCGGACCAACGTGTCGATTTGGTGTGTTGCGTCATTATCGAAAGAAAAGTAGTGGTAGGCAAGGCGCGCTTTCAGGTCGTCGCTCACTATCCGTCTATTGATGGAGTCTATGATGGAAGAAATGTCACTCTCTTAGCTTTAGGACGGGTCTGAAAACAAGAAGGATTACCAACCACAGGACTGTCTTTCCCAGACCAGCTAAGAGGACGTCAGTTTTATTCTCCAGCCTCCCAATTGTCTTATAGACACCCTTCAGCTTACCTCCACCATGAAGCCATAAACGGGAGTTTGGCTGCGTAAACCAAGTCTTGAAGTCTTCGCTGTAGATGAACCAAGATCCGCTACCTGGGCTGCGCATGGCACTTGCCAGATTATGTGAAGTGTCATAGTTTGGCAGTGCGAGCCAGTCCAAAATCTTTTTTTCCTTGGAAACTGAGAAAGACATTAGCTCCTGGGCCTACTGAAAGTTTCTGAGTGATTACCTCTCTGCGCATCATCTATCTTCAGGTCGATGGTCGAGATGTCATTCTGTAAAAGTTGCAGTTGACCTTGGCTGCTTGCGATCGTATCCCTAACTTAATTAAACTGGGTACTCGCCGGTTGACGCTGGCGAAAAGCCTGGAACTCACAATGAAAGCAGTTCAATTGCAAGTCTGAGCTTGCCGGTGACGTCCTCAATAATCTCCATGAATCTTGAGATGGTGCTCTTGCGGAAGGGGTAGCAAGCCCGGCGCCCCAATTGCTTCAGGGTTTGCATCATGGTCGAAGGAGAACCGTCGTTCTTGAACTTCCTAAGCATCGCTTCCATATGATCCTCCATATCGTCACGCGCGTCACGGATTGTCGGCACGATAGCGTCTTCGAGATGTGGCCTCTTCAGCGTCGTGTGAAGGCGTGCCAGCACCTTCTCCGCCCGCTGGAGTGCGTCCATGAATTGTTTGACACCGTTATCGCAGTCCTTCCAAGATTTATAATACTCCTTGATCCCTATCAGAACCTGGAGCAAAAGGCCGACGACCGCGAGAGCTGTGCCGGGATCCATGGATTGGATACGTGGTGTTGCGAAAGTCACAGAGATGTGGATGTTTCTCTGAAGTTGGGCTGGGAACCAGGCTGCCTCGAAATCTGCAAGTACATCTTGGCACTTACCAGTTTGCCCAACAAGGCTTTTGGATGCGGCCAGACTTGTCTTACAGCCAGTCAGCAGCTCTTGTCATACCGGCCAGTCGTGTGTCGAGCTGATCTCCCAATGCGTTGTGACAACCACAGGGGCAGGTCGCAGCGGCCAGCGAGGCAGACCACGGCTCGCAGACCAGTCAGTGCTAAACAGACGAGGCAAGAGGTAGGGTAGACATTAGTGGCCCAAGTTCACCCACAGTCAAGGTCCAAGGATGGCAGGAATTTGTGGCTGAGGACATTCAGTCTTCGTAATATTACATGTCAAATATGTCAACTCGGCCTCTCTCGCAGAACAGGCCTTTTTTCCTTCATCTTCTACACGTACACGTAAAAAGCCTTCAAGAGCGGTGTTGGTTTTTTGTTTCTCTCGTTCCGGCGCCACGCAAGTCGCCCAAAAGTTCGCCAGTCCCATATGCCCCTCCCGTTCTAATCTTTTGTACAGGTAGTAAAAACACTTTTTCGGTGGCTTTGTATAAAAAGGGGGTTTGTCGAGGGTGTGTGCATGGGAGGAGGAGGGGAGGGGGGTCTTCATTCATTCATTCATCCAACCGGAATCCTCTCTCTCGCCCGTGCCCCGCGTGCGTGAAAACATACCATCTTATTGATGTAAGATGTAAAAAGTAGGAGGGAAGTAATTTTGGGTTTTTGTTTGGATGTTCCTTTAGTAGTAGTCCTTTCCGCTCTTCTGCATCTCAATGAGACGCCATCCTCTAGTCTCGGGGTTGCTGACGTCGTCCGGCACGCGGGTGATGCCGATGGCGTACGTAACGAGCTGGACCTTATCCTCCATACCGGCCGCGAGCTCGCCGCTCTTGGCATTGCGGTAGACGTGCACCTCCTGCGTCCTGCAGGTGATGACGAAGACGGGGATCTCACCGGGGTCGAGCATGCGCGCGCGCACAATGTCGACGTGGCGGATGTCAAGGATCTTGCCGTCGGACTTGAGACCGGCCTGCAGGTACTGCTTGGTCAGGGCCTCGTAGACGGAGTACTGCGCCTCGGAGAGCCACAGCTTGAGGGTCGGGACGTCGCCCTTGACGTAGGCGTCGAGGACCTCGGGGAGAATGTACTCGCGGAGCTCCTTGAGGAAGGGCTCCGTCTGGAAGTTGGGGTCCATGGAGCGGAACTTCTTGATGACCTGCGCTGTCTCGTTCTCGGCGAAGAAGCCGCCAATCTTGTCCGTGACCAGGCGCGCCGTCTCGATGAGGGGGTTGTCGGACTCGCGGTAGACTTTGCCGGCGTTGAAGAAACCCTGGGCGAACTTGTTGCCGTCCTTGAACTCGTTCCAGGCCTCCTTCCAGGCGGCGTCCTTGTGCAGGGTAACGTTGGTGCCGGCGCTTGTAGCTGTCAGTAAAGTTCCGGGTTCAGCGGAGGCTGACAACTTACTTGGGGTCCTCCTCCATGATCACGGGCTTGCCGTGCTTGGCCTGCTCGGCTTCGCGCTTCTTCCTGCGCTCCTCCTTTTCGACCCAGCCACCGTAGCGCGAACTGCTGCCATCGTCGATAACATCCTTAACGTTCTTGTACGCCTCGGTCTCACGAAGGGGCTTCGTCGCCTTGTCGAGAGCGTCTCCGGTAACGTTGGCGACCTTGCGGACGCCCTTCATGGCAGTGGTATCCCACGTCCATGCGGCACCCTTTCCGATCGCACCAGCCGTAGTCTTGACAGCGCTACTAGCGGCCGAAGACAGAGCTCCGGTGGACTTCTCGTAGGCCTCGCGGGCTTTCCTCACGCGCTCGCTCTCGGTAAAGTCCTGGATCTCACCAGACAGCGCCTTCGTCGACTCGTTCCACTCCTTGGACTTGCTGAACTCGGCCTGCATAGTCTCCGTGAAAACCTGCCATGGCGTCTTGTCACCGTGGGGTGGCGGGGGCGGGGCATCCTCCTTCTTCTGCTTCTTGTCGCCCTGCTCACCCTCCTTGGCCTCCTCTTGACCCTCGGTCTTCTCGCCCTCCTCTTGCTTCTTCTCGGTCGACTCCTCCTTGGCCTCGGACTCGGCGTCCTCGGGCTTGGTCTCCTCGGCCTTTGCGCTTTCCTCGGGCGTCTTGGGCTTCTCGGTCTGCTGTTTCTGGAGCTGTCCGGCCGTCAAGTGGAAAGAGCGGGATTGCATCGAACTCGAGATGGATCGCACATCTTCGGGGAGGAACTGTGATCGCAGGGGTGTAGGTCGGAGGGCGGATTGTTGTCGTGAAAAGGCCAGCGCAGCGTTGCCGCTGAGGTCTGTCGAGAGTAACCGGCGATACGAGGGCGTCCTGCCGTGGTTGTGTGCCGCCCGCGCTGAAGCTCTAACAAGAGATGCACTCTGAGGATTTCTCCTCGCCGACTGCACGAGGGAGTTCATGTTGAAAAATTCCAAGCTTACCGCCTCCCGACGATAAGCAAAGGCGGAAGAAAAAAGAGAGGGAGGGACAGGGCGGCGAAAAGGTGTAGATGACGATTTGCGGCAGCGGGCGGAGGAGGGACGGGCTGGCAGCAGAGAAATTTTGGCTCGCGGGCAACGAGGGACTAGTCGGGGCCCAGAATTGGGATGGAAGCTCTGCGATTTCGGTTGAAGGCGGAGCGCGGAAAAAATCTGGGCCCCTGTTCAACCGAAGACAACCCGGCGGGCACACGGCCAATCAGAACGGGCGAATGCCTCCAGACTTTGCGAATTCGAGCTGTCAATTTTGCCCGTCCAAAAACTTCACGGGCCGTCGTCAGTGTCGTCAAACCACCCCCCGCCGCCGCCCTCCCACCGAACGGAAGGCGAACACGCACAGCGATGAGTTCCGCACCATCGACCCGCCTCCTGGCGAGGTCGCTCTTCCAGAATAATGCCGCCGCCCGTCCCGCGACGGTGACCCGAATGTCGCCCTTCCTCCGATCCTTCTCCCAGACCACGGCGCCCCGCGCCGACGAACCTTCCGATGCGAAGAAGGGAGGCCAGGACCTCCTCAATGCCATGTATGGTAGCTCGAGGGCCGCACCGGCCGCCTTCCAGACTCCAGCAGAGCAACCAAAGACTGCCTCGACCCCCGGTAACCTGTCCCAGAGCCTGCTCTTCGACACCCTCAACCGCGCCTCGAACGGCAAGTCTGGTCTGGGCGCTCTCGACAACCTGATGGAGGAGCAGGAGGACCGCCTCGAACCGTTCCACATGCACATTCTCTCGCACAAGCACAACACACACGTCACCGTCACGAAGCCCGACCGCGGCGCCATCATCTCCATGTCGACAGGCAACATTGGCTTCAAGAAGTCCAAGAGGAAATCCTACGATGCGGCATACCAATTGACGAAGTACGTTCTGGAGAGACTGAGCTACATGGGATGGCACAAGAAGATCAACAAGCTCGAGGTTGTGTTGAGAGGATTCGGCCAGGGAAGAGAAGCAGCCGTGAAGGTTCTCATGGCCCCCGAGGGCAAGATTTGGCGCCAGAAGGTTGTTCGTGTGGCAGATTCGACCAGGTTGAAGTTTGGTGGAACAAGGAGTCAGAAGCCCAGGCGTGTCTAGAGGAGCAGCAGCGGAGGAAGAGGCGAACAGACGCCAACTACATGCATGTACAATACGTGTACGGCTGTATCATATATCACAACGAGCAACTTTCCCTGCATTCTGTGGTTCAAGATGCAAATGTCTCCAACTCCTATGGTATCAAGTGCTATACGCCGCTCAAACAAAACGCCCGCCTACAACGCCGAACCATGATCCCGTCTTTCCCTCATACAACATGACCTTTAGCCGTTCTACTTCTTCTGGTCTGGCGCTCTTTCTGCAGCAGGTAAATTGCGACCACCGGTGTCGCGGACAGCCTTCTTGCCCTTCCCGTTGCCGCCCCGCCGGCGCTCCTCTTCGCTGTCCCAGTCGGCATCTCCGGAATTCTTGGAATTCTCGGTCAGGAATCTCGGAGGCGACTGCTTGAGCATCCTAGAGCCCTCGTGAGCATGGTCGTCCTCCTCCTCTAAAAGCGCGCCGTCGGCGGTATCGTATTCGGGTGGGTCGATCCAGTCCCGGGGGACGACGCAGGGCAATGCGACTCCGATGCTTGCCGCTCGGTTCAGCCAGCCGGGACCGGGTCGACCGGTCAGCTTCTTACACAGATACGACGTGAAGTGGTTGCAATTCTTGGTCAAGAGGTTGTATGAGGTTCCGAGGAAGTCCTTTGACGCCTCTTCGAGAATCGCGTCGATTTCGGCCTGGGTCGCAAAGGTGAAACCGTGGAGAATTTCCGACTTGAAGGTGCCGCCGGGGGGCTCGGTCTTGGGCTTCGTCCAGTACACTCCGGTGATGCCGCGCCTTTCGTGACCGCCGTATGCGTATTCCTTGCCATTGATCACAACGCCCGAGTGCAGCAGCGAGGCGCCAACCGTCCAGAGAACCGAAGAGAGTCTTCCTGGCTGCAGGGCATTGTTAGCGATGCCGACACACGGTGATCGGCAGGTGGTGGGTCCATCAACTTACAGGAAGCAGATCGTAGACGTGGATTGTGACTTCCGTCTTTTGAAGCGACAAGGTTGAGCGGTGATTGCTCGAACGACGAGGCATCTTCGGCTGGCGACCTTGAAGGCGGCGTTGTAGGCGGTTGAAAGTTGGTGTATTACGTCGTACTACAGCAGCGCGAGTCGTAGGAGGAGGGGCGACGGCAGAGCAGGACGAAACGGAGGCGGAAGGCAGAGCAGACCACAGATTGGGTTAAATATACACGTCGAAGCTCCGGGATAAAGATTGAAGCCGTTTCACAAGTGAAAGAAGCAGTTCCGGCGAGTTGAAAGGTGCAGGCTGAGGGAATTGGCGAAGGGGGAAACAAGCAGCGCACACAATGCAGTCGTCGACGAAAGGCCGCAAGGCATGTCGCAGCTGGTAACCTTGGGCCTGGCTCGGGCGGTGCTCGGCGCAGATGCGGGCGTCAGCGAGGTAAGTTGGGAGGTGTAACTGAACCGGCGCTGGCTGACTGGCAATGCTAACTTGGAAGCCTAGGTGACCTGACTTTGCCCGGGGGCAGCAGTCATCAGTGAATCACGTCTGCACTATCCGTACCTACCTAGGCACCCGGACGGCACCGAGGAAGCCCACCTTACGAACTGAAAGTCCGAAGTGCATGCAGGCAAGCAGGCATTCTGCGCGGTGACAGCAAGCGAGGTACTTGAAGACGAGCTGTTTTAGCGCAGTAAATGCGTGGCATTGCACGGCCCGAACAAGTCACTCTGCGCCGCAAGCGGGCTAAGAGCAATGCGACCCAATGAGACGCCGGGGAATGAGGTCAGCGGCCAGACAGCATCCCTGCCCAAAACCAGCCCCGCGTCTTCCTTCAGCAGCAGCAGCACAGCTCTGGAACACCGACCTGAAGCTTCCTTTTCGGGGCAGGATGGAGGAGCTGCACGCGACCTGGATTATTACCTCAGCATTCCTTGCACCCCAGCTAATGCCTTACCTAAGCACATGCTGAGGTACCTGGTATCCGTACACGGCATGACGGACCTATGCCCCACTTCCAGGTTCTATTCGAATATTTTGACCCGGGCTTTTGTTCCGCCGCCGCGCCGAACCCTCCCGCCTTCCAATTCCATCCAGCTTTTGTCAGGTTTTTGCTCTCAACCCCCTCCGCCCCGTTTTTGGTGGGGCACATTAAAATTCATCTAACCAGGCCACAGCCGCCCGCGCGACGACTATTTTTTCTCTCAGCATCAACAGCTTCACGCTTTCTCCCTCCTTCTTCCTCTCTTCTCTCTACCGCCTATTCTCCCACTACCCCCGCGGGCAATCCGTACGCGATTGAGGCTGGTCGCGGCCGATAGTCGCCAAAACGACGTCCTTCATCGTCTTCACCTCTTCTTTCGCTTCTCCCTCCACCTCTTTGCTCCCCCGCGCAGCTAGTTCTGCCTTTCGCAGTCGCAATCTTCTAGCGACTGCAGCGCTCACGTGCACCGTACTATACACACCCACTCGTCAGTACGCCAAGAGCCGCCGGATCAAAATGCCTCCCAAGAAGCAGGTCGTGGAAGAGAAGATTCTCCTGGGCAGGCCCGGTAACAACCTGAAGAGTGGAATTGTGGGTGCTACGCCTTAGAACCTGTGCGGGATCAGGCTGACCCCTCTCTTCAGGTTGGCCTTGCAAACGTCGGAAAGTCCACCCTCTTCCAGGCCATTACCAAGTGCAACCTTGGCAACCCCGCCAACTTTCCCTATGCCACCATCGATCCTGAGGAGGCTCGCGTCATCGTCCCTGACGACCGCTATGACTGGCTTTGCGAAAAGTACAACCCCAAGTCTCGCGTCCCCGCCAACTTGACCGTCTACGATATTGCCGGTCTGACCCGCGGTGCCTCCACCGGTGCTGGTCTGGGTAACTCCTTCTTGTCCCACATCCGCGCCGTCGACGCCATCTTCCAGGTCGTTCGTTGCTTCGACGATGCCGAGATTATCCACGTTGAGGGTGACGTCAACCCCACCCGAGACCTCGACATCATCAGCGATGAGCTGCGTTTGAAGGATATCGAGTTCGCTGAGAAGGCTCTCGAGAACCAGAAGAAGAAGACTCGTTCTGGTGGCAAGGGCCTCGAGCACAAGAAGGCCATGGAGGAGCAGGCTACCATGGAGAAGATTATCGAGCACCTGAAGGCCGGTAACGAGGTCCGCAAGGGCACCTGGGGCCCCAAGGAGGTAAGCCGCATTTTTCATTCTTCCACTCGACCCTCTGCCTTAAATGATGATCAAGGGCCCAAGGCCCGACTATTTAAACCCAGCTCTTCGAATGCCAAAGGCATACTGAGACAAGAAACCGTTCTGATTTTGCACCTTGTCACTACTTTCATGTTTCGCACTCTTGTCGCAAAACCAGTTCTGACAATATCTCTAGGTCGAGGTCATCAACCCTCTGTTCCTCCTTACTGCTAAGCCGGTCGTATACCTGGTCAACCTGTCTGAGAAGGACTTCATTCGCAAGAAGAACAAGCACCTTCCCAAGATCGTTGAGTGGGTCAAGGAGCACGCCAACGGCGACCCCATCATTCCCATCTCCGTCTCTTTCGAGGAGCGCTTGACCCGCTACGAGACCGAGGCTGAGTCCCTCGCGGAGCAGAAGGCTGTCGGTGCCGAGTCTTCTCTGCCCAAGATCATTCTGCAGATGCGCAAGGCCCTGAACCTTGGCAGCTTCTTCACCACTGGTACCGATGAGGTTCGCCAGTGGACCATCCGTAACGGCACCAAGGCGCCGCAAGCCGCCGGTGTCATCCACACGGATTTCGAGAAGACGTTCATCCAGGCCCTCGTCTACAACTTCAGCACCCTTAAGGAGCTCGGCAGTGAAGCTGAGGTCAAGGCCAAGGGCAAGGTTATGATGAAGGGCAAGGACTACGTTGTGGAGGACGGCGATATTCTGCTTATCAAGGCTGGTGCTGCCAAGGGTTAGAGAATGAATATCTGATGGAAATTTAGATATGAGGATTGGTCAAAAGCTCTGCCTTTCGGTTTAGATATCACCGGCTAATAGAGAATTGCCGCCACACGCTTATTGTCCCAACGTGAATGCATGATGTGCTGTGAAATGTGCTGAGTTGAAAATCCAAGTCGCTGGTGAGCACCGTACTCGGGGCAGATTAGCCGGGGATTTCCCGCCACTCTGGCACCTCCCACCTCAGCACGGACCCTGTGACATCTCTTGTTGTACCTCTTGCCAGTAACCTTCAAGCACTTGGACATGAATCTGCATCAAGACACCATCGAGGCGTCGAGGTAGACAACATGAGCCAACCTCCGATAAATCGTGGCCATGGCCGCAACATATCAGTAACGAGACGTGAGTTTGTCTAAGTCGTTTACTTGCGCCGCGACCACCGTAGATATTTTCCGCATCATTTCCGACATTCCAATCTCATGGGTGTCCACTCATACACATGAAGTCGTCATCGCCGTATTGATCGGTTCATCTTGCTAACATTCACAGCGGTTCGCCCACGATCTTCAACTAAGGGTCCTCTAGATCTGGACGAGTGAGAAATCCTATCCAGTTCTCTATGGCTGCACTGACACCTCTCAGTACCCCTCTCAACGATCCCTTGTCGCCAAAGGCTGGCGCATCAGAAGAACCGACTCAACGCCCGGTATCAGGCGTCAAATCCCCAGCACCTATCCATTCCCCCGTACCTCCAGTCAAGACCACCGTAACCAAGGACTTCGGCTTCCTCCTCCGCCCCGAGATCTACCACAGCATCAACCCCATCAACATCCCCGTCGCCTTCAAGACCTCCCCAAAGCAGCCCACCCCCGATGCCTCGCTCGACGACCTCCTGGCCATGGGCCACTTCCGCGCCGCCGCCATCGCCGCCGTCCAGGAGCTCACCGGAACCGGCGGCCCGGCGCGCCCCCGCGTAGACCCCTCAGACCACCAGCGCATCTTCACCCTGCTCTACACCCGCCTCGCCTGCCTGACGCTCATCGACGCCACCTCCGTCGCGGCGCAGGAGGTCCGCGCCCTCGAGGACCTCAACGCCGGCGTCTACATCGACGAGACCACCGGCGAGCACCTCGTGCCGTGGGAGCTGCGCGTGCTCAACATCCGCCTGCAGGCCCTCGGCTTCGGCGACCCCCGGCGCTCCGTCATGGCCTACCACGACCTCGCCCGCGAGGCCCGCGAGCAGATCTCCAAGGCGGCCGCGCGGCACGACAACTCGGCCAGCGAGCTCTGGAAGGCCCGCCTTCACGATCTTGGGATCAGCGTCGCCGGCGCGCTCATCGAGATGGACGACCTCGCGGGCGCGGCGCACCACCTCGCCGCGCTGAGGGACCGCGGCGACGGCAAGATGGCGCTCTCGCGCGCGCTCATGTGGCTGCACCTCGGCGACGTGGACGCGGCGCGCCGGAGCGTGCAGGACGCGGGCGGCGACGACGATGGCAGGCACGCGGAGCAGGTCGTCGCGGCGCTGTGCCAGATGGCCGACGGCGAGTACGAGGCGGCGCTGCAGTCGTGGCGGGGGTTGAAGGAGCAAGTCATGGACGAGATGATTGGCGTCAACATGGCGGTGTGCCTGCTCTACACGGGCAAACTGACAGAGGTCCGTCGACAAACTCCATTTTCATATTTATTGCTGCTTCCCCCTTCCTACGTTATCGTGCATACTGACAAAGTGCTGACTGGAATATCACTCTGCAGGCGCGCGCATCCCTCGAAGACATGGTCGGAGACGGCTACTCGTCGCACACCCTCCTCTTCAATCTGAGCACGACATACGAGCTCTGCACGGAGCGGAACCGGAACCTCAAGCTGAGACTCGTGGAAAAGGTCGCCGATCAGGACGAGACGGTCAAGGGCTGGGAGAAAAGCAACGCCGACTTCAAGCTATAAAACTGATTTTGCCCAATGTAAACCACACGCTTTATCACACAATTGGATGAGATCATTGCTTCCGGTGCTTCCCCTCCCCCTCCCTCCCTCCGGCTCCCCCTCCACCCCTCGTGAAGTACCTTACCGTCCGTACCTCAACAACCCCCGACTCCGTGAACAAGGGGGGTTGGGCTGGGTTCTTTTACCTTTGGCTTTCCGTGTGGCCCGGAGGAGGGGACGTCCCCGGCGCGCCCAATCAGCGCGGCGTTGGCCGCCGCCCTGAATAGACTTGGCCCAATGGCGGGGTCCCGCAGGCCCAGCGCGCAATCAGACGGTGCCGGTGCGCGGTGCCTTGCACCTATTATTTACTGCTTACCAAGATGCTTAGTTACAGGACGTGCATGCGGTGGCAGAATGACAAACCCGGCCGTCAGTCACCGCACAACCAGTCAGTCAACCCAACCACACAACAGATGACTTTTTTGTCTCCTCTTCCCTGGCCAAGCCAAGACAATCATCGGGCTGAATTTTCGGGAATGAGGGGGTTTGGTCTTGATTTTTATTCTCGGTGTTGTTATTTTTGGGACACGGCGATGAAAGTGAAATACCTTTTGGGCCCCGCCGCTCCCGGGCGCTGCTCGGCGTTCTCAGCTGTTCGCCCTGTTATCTCAACATCATGCCCTTCCTTTTTTCACGTTGTTTCTCATTGATCGGCTGAACCTTTTCCTTTCCATCGCCGTTCTAGTTACAAGTCGCCGACGTTCGCAATGTCAACCTAATTCAAACAAAGATTGATAAAAAGACCTGGGCCAACAGCTGCCTCCGAACAGCCACATCTTGCGAGAGCGATGTACGAAGCATCGCATTACCACGAGCTCTCGGCTCATCTCTCAGACATGTCGACGCGAGACCTGCAGCTTCGCACGATCGAGCTGCTGGAGAAGATTGCGCGCTCGCAGAGGGTTCTCGAGAGGCGCGTCGACGCCGTGGAGAAGATGGTGCTCGCGCACCCGCCACCAATATCATCATCATCAGAAGAAGAGACGAGTGGCTTTCCGCAGTTCAGACGGCTCCCGCCGGAAATCAGGCACCGCATCTGGGAGCTCGCAATACCGGTGCGGGCGCTGCGGTTGCGGCGGGGCCGGGGCGGGTTCATACCGACTCTGCGGTCGCCCGCCGTCGCGGAGACGTGCCGCGAGGGGAGGGCTGTCGCGGTAGCGCACGGGGGCGGTATGGTCTCGGTCACGGCGTGCGGGAAGGGCGAGGCGGTGAGGCGGTGCTGGAGCTGGTTCGACGGGCGGCGGGATGTGCTGGAGCTTGAGAGGTGGGTTAGTCTGGAGCGGGACGAGCCGAAGGGTGTAAGGGAGCTTGTGGGCAGGGCGAGGCATGTTCTTGCGCCGAGGGCGGAAGCGACGTGGTTCAAGAGGTTGTTTGAGGAGGCGGCAGGGTTGAGGAGGGTTAGCCTCAAGTTCGACACGACTGTGGCAAGCCGGTGCGCGTGGGACGCGAATGTGGTGAGGGGGGTGTTTGGGAGCGTTGATACCGTTGCGATCCTGGATCTGGAGGATGCCGGGGAGATTGGGAGGTTTAAGGGGGCGTTGGGGGAGCATTGGCGGTGTCCTTTCTTTTGCGAGTTTGATATTGAGGGGTGGGCGAGGGAGAAGAAGACGGCAACAGCGGTGGAAGAGAGGGGGGAGAAGTGGATGAGGGGGTTGGAGGGGAGCTGGATGAGTGAGGTTGCGAGAGGATGGGTTATGGCGAAGACAAAGACGGGACCAAAAGATGGTATCGATGTCGAAGACGAAGAGGTGAGAAGGGCGTTGAGCTGCATGCCTGACGTCAGGCTTGTGAGGGCGTATTTGCTGGCCGATGTCCACGGCTCAAGATGAACAACGTTTTTCAATATCCTAATGCCCCAATTTCGGTTCAAAGCGCCTCTTCTGTTGAGTGTGTCGTCACAATTGATGAAGATGTCATGGGCGAGTGTACTTCGCTGTGGCGCTATCATCTGAAATATTCACAAGTCCTGAAAACGTCCGAACGCCGTGATCGGTTTTGCAGGCAAGGCAAGTTCGAGGCTGAGGCCTTGGCAGGACTTAAGCTTTCAAAATCTCAGGAACCGATAGATTGAGCAGCCAGGCAGCCGTATTTCTCTTTCATCTTCTTATACGGGGCCATGGGCAGGTCCTGATCCTTCGCGCAGTCCTACGGCCAGGGTGCCGCGGAGCCTCCGCCACCAAAACGCCGGGTTGGCGATTCAAGTCCTATGCATTTGATTGAGCGTGGTGGAATTTAGTAAAAGAAAAACAGTCGCGTCCCATGTCCTACTCTTTGATTCGAATATAACAGCTAAGTTGGCAGTTTGGATCACCAGTGCACATTTTCAAATCAATTTCTGGCGCAAGTATGGAACGCAGATCAGCTTCGGAGACCAACTCCGACCAGACAAGCATCCCATCTAAAGCTCCATCTCTAAGCTCATGGTATGTTACTTCGAACAATTGATTCACGGAGAAGTAGGGCATCTCACAGTTCATAGTACTTCCAACTCGAAAGAACCTCATAACCAAACCTGCAACCCTCCACCGACACCACGACCCGAAATCGCTCCCAACGGCGAAGTCATCCTCCTCGTCGGCCCAGACCTCCAACCCATCCGCGTCCATGCTCTCATCCTCGCCGACGCCTCCCCCGTCTTCAAGTGCCTCTTGCAACCCACATCTTCAACCTACACCGAGCCCGCCGCCGTGCTCTTCGCTACCCCCGACTCCCCAGCGCACGTCACTCTCCCCGAAGACGACCCCCAGGCGATCGAGACGATATGCCGCGTGCTGCACAGTCGCATCGACGACGCCGTGTGCGACTTGTCTGACGACGAGGTGTTGAAGGTGGCTGTTGCGGCGGATAAGTATGACTGCACGGCGGCAATGGGCCTCGCGGTGCGGCACTGGCTGAGGGCGGATAAGTTGGAGGCAATCAAGAACGCGGCGAGGGATGGGTGCATCGGGTTCCGGAGGGGAGATATGTTGTTGGCTGCGTATTGGTTCAAGTGCGAGCCGGTGTTTGAGGAGCTCACGAGGTTGTTGGTTACGAGTACGGTGGGAGGGTTTGAGGGGCTGGTTGATGGGCGGGATGGCCCTGAGGAGGTTCTTGCTTGGAGACTTACGTGTGAGTTTTCTGGTGTCTTATCTCCTTCTTTGACTGTCAACAGCTTTGAGATGGGGGCCCATTGCAATCGACTGACAACTCATGTCCAAACTCAGACGACCTCGAAAGACATAGGAACAACCTCCGCCTCTCCCTTTGGACCGCCATCAATGAACGCATATACGAGCCCGTATCCCTGCCCTGGAACATCCGCCCCCGTCTTCAATACAAACGCAACTGGTTCGGCTCACGAGTCTATGTCCCGCCGCTGCCAGGAACCCCCGACCTGCAGTACATCTGCCAGCGGCTACAGGCGCTGGACCGCAAGACCTTCGCGACCGGGTTCAAGTACATGTCCATCAACGACGCTCTGTGTAGGGCGGTGGGGATCTTGCCGGCGGCATTTGAGTCGATCAGCGGGTTGCGGAAGATGTACAACCCAGACGCCGCGGGCGGGTGTCATGGTGATTTGCCGTGGTATAAGCAGGATATGCGGACGAAATTGAATAAATGGAGGAGGGAGTCGTTGACGGGGTTATGTTTGGGTTGTGTACATGAGCAGGTGCAATGTGGGAAGGAGCAACATGGAGAGGCAGGTGAGAGAGAGGAGGCAGAGGGGAGAACGGCTTGGGAGGAGATGTGTAAGACGGGGAAGTTTGAGGCGACCCATTGGTGGCAAGGATGATGCTGTTACTTCACAAAATTCAGAGAAGAGGAACTACTAAGTTCTCTCAGACTTCTGGGCTACTGCGATGTATGTTCTCTGTCGGTTTCAGGCTCTGGATTGTATTCTAAGTCCTACCTAGTAGTACTAAATGGCAAGACGTATGAGACTTGGGGAGAAGCCGCACGCGAGATAGCAACATGAGCCCGAGATGAAAGCCATTTATGAAAGGCGCATCGGACTCGTTTACAGCTCACATTCATTGCTTGAACAAAGAAGTTTTGCTATTCGGGCGGGTAGTAGGGATAGGCGACAATAGGGACAACGACGTGAGCCTTCCACTCCCAGTCACACTTTGGTCCATTCAGGATCACCTTCCTCCTCCTCTCTCAACTGCGCCCTAACCTCCATCAACAACTTCCCGAGCAAATTCAAACCCCATCGACTCCGATCTGACGCCGGTGCCTTCTCAGGGCTGTACCCAATACCCCAGATGCGATCCATCGGGCTCGCCTCCACCAGCTCACGCTCACCCGTCGCCAGCAACTTCTCCTTGAGCTCGGGACTACTTCGAAATTTGAGCAGGCTTCCCTCCCGAACGATTCGCTCGCGGTTCTCGTTCCAAATAGCCTCATCGAAGCCGGAAACCTTGCGCCCTAATGCCTTGACCTTTCTAGGATGATCCGCTTTGAGGATCGTGAGGGCGACTTTAGGATCATTGAATAGTATGGCTTTTCCGTGCATCATGTAATGTTCTGCTGTTTTGAAAGTGATTGGTGAAGAGTCAGGGGACTCCAGGGTGAATGGGTGGTCCATCCACCATTGGGAAAGATAGCCTTCATGGCCGGTTTCCCGCCAGAAGTAAATTGGTGTAGTCTCCATGATGGCTTTGAACGGTAATTTTCAACGGTTCATATGTATTTGTTTTACTGAGACGAGAGAAAACTCAGAAGATAATTGTCCGGCTTTTATGGTGTTCTTGCTGACTGCCTTACCACAGCTAGCGCCGCCGCCGAGTGAGTCAGATGCGCTGAGGCGTCTACAGGCGTCAGCCTAACACTGAAACTGGTTCGTCAAGGCAAATTTCTCAATTCACATTGCATGTGGCAATTTCGTGTGAATCTTGTGAATCGTGAGCGGTGCCACCAAGCATTTGGTTCGCCAAACCCACTGTTGTCCGCCCATCTCACCATTGAAGTCACTATTAGCTTGAGAACATGAGATTAGTTATCATAAATTCAACTCCGTTATGGCAAAGTAAATGAGGAACCTAATCAGCCAGCGGGAAGATTTCTTCGAGCTGTTGGTGCCTCTTCAACGCATCCTCAAAAGTTGCGATATCCTTGGTTTCACCCTGTGCATGCGCCTCATAGACTGCGCCGATGATCCTTGATGGTAAGGGCAACTCAGACTCCCAATCGCCCCAGCCCCAGGTAACCTCCTCGATCTCATCCTTTTCAAACTCGTGCACCTCGATCCGGATATCTTTGGGGTCCGCGAATGCCTGCAGTGCCGTGCTCACATTTGAAGTTAATTTGATCTCACCCTTTTCGCCATTGATGGTCCAGACCAGAGGCGCATCGCCCTTGAAGGCTTGACCTTTACGGTATCTGAGAAGAAGTGTGGCGTCCTCAGAGACGATGTCTGATGATGGAAGAGTACCAGCGGCGATGACGAGATCCGGTACGTTGGACTTGACCGTCTCGACAATTTCTCCCGTCTTAGCGTCCTTGATCTTCACATCAGGACGCTGGATCTGCAGATGGGATTTGAAGTTTGATGCATCTCCCAAGACATGCTGGACCTGGTCAAATACTGTGATGACTGTCAGCAACTCTGTTCCGGAATAGGCAGATTCATGAAAACTTACAATGACCGAAGCCAATGGTGAAGATGTTTCCTCCGATGCTCTTGTCGGTGAAATATTTCAGGTCAATTGGAACGACAGCGCGGTCGATCAAGCCACCTGCCGCCTTAACCTCGCTGCTCAAGACCTTGCCGATGCGTCCCTCCCGCAAGAGGTCGCCGATCTTGTGATAAAGAGGTACCGTTCGACCTTGAATGCCAACCAAGGTCTTGCCACAAGCATTTTTGGCAGCATCGGCGAGTACTTTGGCATGCTTCGCATCCTGTGCAAGTGGCCATTCGATGTAGACATCCTTGCCGGCCTTGACGCTGGGAAGCGCCGTGTCGTGGTGCAAGTCGACTCGCACTGAGACGACGACGAGGTCGACGTTTGGGTCGGCAGCCAGATCCTCTGGGTTGCCGTACGCTTTTGTCTCGGCGGGCAGATCGTACGCCTTGATTGCACGGTTGGCGGCATCAACGGAAGAGTTGAGGAGGGCTGTGATTTGGTACTTGGAGCGACCGAGAGGGGAGAGGAGGTATGGGAGATGGGCGCGAGAAGCCCAAGCGGTTTTGGCGCTGGCGGAGAGGCCGATGATGCCGACGCGAATTGGTGCCATTTTAAGCTGCGATAGATAAGTTTTGAGATTGAGGTGACGTCTTGGCGAAGAATGAGGTTGTGCATCAAGCAATGCCCTTTATTTTATAAGTACTGATCTCTGGCCGTCTGCATGGCGAAACGTCGTTGTACTAGCGATGATGTGATGTGCTGGATTTGTAATAAGCCACACGGGCATATGAGGGGCTGGAACGCGGAGCCGGTCGCGCATTTGGTGTAAATCACATAACGTTTACCCAAGTCTACGACAATTACCTTTTAGTAATCCGTTGCCCGTCATTATTGGCTCGGTCGGTATAGGATGAGTCTAATGATCCTCATCAACGAGTTTTACCAAATTTGGATTCTTAGCTTGTCTACGATGGACTTTCTGAGTTCAGACAAAGATATTGATGAATACAGTTTAACCAGGTGGATTTGTAAGACTACCGGAGCGGACAAAGACGCAATGTCCGAGGACCAGACAGCATACAAACATGCGAAAATACTATGAGTGAATATCTCTTGACAAAACTGATGAAAACACCAAGCGAGGTGTAGAAGTCAGACCTCACCTAGTGACCAGAGATTTAAAAATTTCAATACTTATCAAAGACGACGTCCTCACCAGCATCGATTGATTTCCACGCCTGGGACAGGAACTCCTCCGGCGGAGTGAACTTGAAGTCGGGCAGAAGTTGGTTCCACTCAGAAGAGGTGTTGAAGCATCCAGCCGAAAAGCCGAGCAAAATGCCAGAAAGCAGGCTAGAAGCGACGGCCTTCCGAGTCTCCGGAGGGATTGACGGGTGCTTCACTTCAAGCGTCCACGAAGATGTGACTTTGCCAGCCTCAAGGTCCTCCTTCTTCAACTTCTCAACAGCAAATGGCTTGCCTGATCACAAAATCAACATGGAAGTAACCACCGAGTCTGGTAGGACGAGAACTAACCACGAATTCTTTCGCCGAGCGCGATCAGTTGGCCCATGGTGATCTCGGAGCCCTTGATGCCACCCACATGAGGCCACTCTCCCTCATATTCCACAGCTAAAGCGACGACTCTGGCAAGATCCTGAGCTATGGTAAAGGTCAGGGGGACGTCTTCACCTCCGTCGACCACCAGCGCGCGACACTGATTGAAGTCGACAGGGGTCTCCAATTGAGTGACATGCTTGGAAGAGCTGAACGGGTAGGTCAGGTAGTTCGTGAACAAGCCCGGCTGGAAGAGACAATATTCAAGGACCTGCATTTTGTGAGTCGAGACTTTTAGGATGACACCTGGGAGAATACGGACCTTCTTCTTCTTGTTCACCTCTGCGAGGTAGTCACGGGTGACTTGCTTGAAAGAATACCAGAACAAGTGGTCGAACTTGGACCTGGAGAACAATATCGTAAGAAAACATCCAACTAGAGTGGCTATGAACTTACGTAGCCCACTCGCTGGGAGCGAAGCGCTTGACTCCAGCTTGGATGCACGCATCAATCAAGTTCTTCTGCGTGTCACTCTGAGAGGTGTTCGTCGGATCCGCTGGACCAGAGACGAAGGAAAGCACCGTCTCTACACCACCAATAATCTTGGTCAGATGAGCGATCTCATAATTTGTCTTGACCCATTGAACTCCCGGGGCGAGCTTTTGGGCGGGTGCATCCTAGAAACATGAGCGATACGAAACTTTTGGACGACAAAGACCTAACCTTCCTTGAAAGGAGAATGATCTCATGTTTTCCTCTGGCCACCAAGGCATCATGGACCTCTGATCCAACGTCTGGGATTCATGTGTCAGCCTATTCAGCCTGAGACGGCTCGACAACATACTGCTAGAGCCGCCAACGATTGCAATCTTGACCATTTTGACTTCTTGGCTTTGGTTTCGTTTGTGAAAATGGGTACCTGGGATTTTGGGCTTCTCCTGATGTTGATTGTCCTCTGGTTGAAGACACGGAGCGAATTGGCTTGTACTTATACACAGGCTCGCGAACCCCTTCTATGGTGCTGCCGGACGCAAGAGATCACTGCTTCCGCCGATAATACGGTCACCATCCCGTGGACTAATGTGCCGATGGCCGCTTCGCCGGAGCTCCAATGTGGCCCCGCTGCGGGCGGTATTCCCGGGGCTTAATTCCACCGCCGAAATACCGGCGGAACGGCCCCGGTCTAGGACTTGATGACTAATTCTGACATGCATTAGGCAGACAAAGGACTACTCAGGGATGTCTTCTCATCTTCACGGATCATTGCGTCGATACTATCGATTTCAGTCCTTATGTCGGTTTCACCGATTACTTGGACAATGGAGCAAAGTACTGTCCCACGGCGACCCTCCTCATTGGCCGACTCTACCGGCCCAACTCCGAAGCGCCGGAAATTGCGGAAAGGCACTCAAAGCTGCTGGGACTGCAAGCGACGCAAGGCCCGATGCACCTTCTCCGCCGATACTCCGGAGACTTGTGATAGTTGCAAGCGCCGTGGAGTCGACTGTGTCAGCCAGGAGGTCACCGACCAGCCCCCTCCTCCTGGAAGCAACAAGCATATCGTGGACAGGCTGGGTCATGTCGAAGCCCTAGTGACTCAGCTACTCAAAGCTGCTGCTCGTCAACATGGCCATCTAGGTCCAAGTCCGAAAAGCCTTGCAGCAGAATTACACCAATGGAGCAACAGAAACAGGTCAGACAGTGAGGAATCACTGGTTGAACCTTCTGGTGTCGAAATCTCGACACCTCCTTCACAGCCCGTCTCACAAGTGGGTTGTCCGGATATACCTCAATACTACATAGCCATGTTGACAGGAATTTAGTTAATTTCTCAAGAAAACCCATGCAACAGAGTTTTATATCAGATAGCCACAAACCAGAGCGAAGAACTCTCGGGGAATGGCCACCCAGTGTTGCACGGTGCTTTGTCGCAACGTCTTTTGGCTGCTTGGCCCTGCAAAAGAGATATGGATATTCTGCTGGGTATGCCAGTAGAGACATCTCAGGTTATCCGCGCAGTCACATGCGCCAGAGCGGACTCAAATAGCTCAGCCCTTCCGTCGCTAAAAGTCTTACTGCAATTACCGGCAGAGGGATCCCATCCTACACTGGTGGCACGCAAACTCTTGGTACTGGCGACTTTCCTTCAAGGAATTCCGGAGTCTTCTTCACATCAACTCGACAGCCTCAGCACCCCCTACCAAGTGGCCATGTTCCGTGCTGTGACGACAGCTCACGACCTGGTTACAATTAATGATGAGTTGGTCGCCTCCCTCGAAGGGATCGAGTGTATTCTTCTCGAAGCTCTCTTCAAAAACTACACCGGCGATCTTCGTCAGTCTTGGCTGGCCGCCCGCAGAGCCGTAACTATTGCGCAAATGCTGGGTCTCGATCGTGGCATTGCGCCCGTGTCTTTGTCTGGATTCTCCGTCGACCCAGACGATATGTGGTTTCGAATCGTCCAGTTTGACCGTTACATCGCTCTGATGCTTGGTCTACCGCAGAGCTCGGCTCAGGATACCTTCGCCACTCCCCAGGCTCTCGAAAAGTGCTCGCCTCTTGAACGCATGCTACGCCTGTGCTGCGTAGCATGCGGACGGTTATTACAACGAAGCGCCTCCGAACTACATGATGCCAATCTCACTAAAGAAGTAGACAAGTTATTGCAGGATGCTTCCGCCGCGATGCCGCCTCAGTTCTGGGTATCACCGAACTTGATCTCGTGCACTAGCCAGTCGGATAAGGTTCGCGAAATTCTGCGATTCAACAACCATTTCATGTACTACCATATCCTTCTGCAACTGCATCTGCCTCATATGTTCGATTCAACTACCCGGAAAGAGAACTACCATAATAAAATGGTCGCCATTGCAGCAAGTCGCGAGATTCTCTCCAGATATGTGTCCTTTCGCGCATCTCAGACAACGCGCTACTACTGCCGAGGCATAGACCTAGTCACCTTCATACCCTGCACAACCCTCTTACTGGCCTATCTAAACGGTGGTAGTCGCTGCGCAGTAGCCCAAGACTCTTTCTCATTTACAGCACATCAACGACTGAGTGATCGAGGGCTTTTGGAGCAAACCCTGGCGATCATGCAGGGGGTTGTTGATATAAACGACGATGCAATTGCTAAGCGGGTGACTACCTTACTTCGGTATCTCCTGGCTATTGATGAAGATGCCATGTCGGGAGGAAGGTACACTGTTGTATTCTCGCCAGAAATACGAAAGCGTGGGGAAGACTTCGGAAGCCATGCGGCTTTGACGCATAACAACACCGTTTTGGAAATCTGTTTGCCTCATCTGCCGACCATACAGATCCAAAACGAAACCCCCAACACACCAATGCCATTGAAATCTGGTCCAGACCGAGAGAAAACGGGCGATTGCCAACATAAAGACCTAGGAAATGGATGCGGATGCGATCGCAGGCCAGAAGATTGGGGTGACCCCAACGTGGTACAGATCATGCCGGTAGCTGTTGAGGACCCATCCGACGTCCTTGACAGAGTTGACATACATGTATCGCGGTTGCTGAGAAACAGCTCCGCCGAGGTCGACTGGGACTTTGAGAACCTCGATTTTGCGTTTCTGGACAGCTTCATTGAGGGGGCGTTATAACTCAACACAAGCCACAAAAGCTAGTTGCCATGTGTTTCAATGGAGGAAAATGGTCAATGTGCACGAGATTCCTCATTCTTCGAATATTCCAAGATCCTAGAAGGTCTATGAGGCTATATCACAGAAGGCCCTCGACCTCTGCCAACGATTTCACCTGTGGCGACGACCCCTCCAAAGAGGTTTCTGCCTGCTCGTTGTAATGAATAGCAAAGATACCCGCTTCCCTCGCTGGCACGGTATCTCGGACTGGGTTATCTCCGATGTAAACCATGTCCGAAGGTTGGATGCCTAGGTGCTCCAAAATTCTTGGGAACAGACCCTCAGTCTTGGAAACTCGGAAGAAGTTGGTGGTAGCTAGGAAGTCGACATGTCCCGCTAAGCCAAGCTGTTTCACCGTCCTTTCTTGTGCATCTTGTGGCCCCTCAGTGATGACGGCCACCTTCTTGCCCTTCTTTCTCAAAGTTGCAAAAAGGCACAAAGCCCCGTCTTTGAGTTGCAATGAATGTGTCAAAGTATCTTCGTATATGCCAAGGAGCCGATCGATAAAGTCAACGTCTTGGGCGAGGGAGAAGCGCTCTAACAAGATTGTGAAACGCTCTCGTCTGTACTCAAATGAGGTCTTGCCGTCGGAGAAGGCGTTTAACGTTTTGTCGCGGAGAATGTTTGAGTACTCTTCCTGCAAGGCATTCGCAGGTTGTCCATACTGCTGAGATATTGCCTCAAGTGTCTTTGCGGTTGCAGCCGCAGATGCGCGTCGGAATTCATGCAGAGTGTCATCAAGGTCGAATCCAAACCATGCCTTCTCGGCTAAGACTGCTCGGATAGGTGGAGTATCCACAGGTTCCGTCATGGCGTCTTTGAGAGTCGTGAACTTACGTACGAAACGAATCAAGCATGTTTTTGGATAATTCGGCTACTTTTGGGGACGAAGCACGTAGAATGACGCAACGCCGTTTTCATGCCGCTTTTTCTGAGTTCGCGGGAACCGCCGATATCCGCCGATCGTTGTGGGGTAGTCATACGGCAGTCAACGAGGTGCGCCTCCAGGCGGCAAACTGCGAAGAAGAAAACTTAGAAGGGGAGAAAGACGTGACTCTAAACTCTCCATCGAATGCACACTGAGATGGTGTCACTGGCATACGCATGATCCTTAGAAGGAGACTTTGGCTTTTTTACAACGTGGGGCACACTTTGTATGTTCCTTGTATCGACTATCGACCTCGAAGCCCAAATTTGCCAAGTATCTCACCTCCGTCAAAGGCTTGTGATTTCCTTGGGAAGACACGAAGATCAATACAAATATGTGAAATGAGCGAATAACCAACAAGAGAAACGTATAAAAATGATGACAATGGAATAGGAAATAGGAAAATTGAGTAGCCCACCTAGGTGGTGAGGTTGGAGATCTCCCATACAGTGAGAACGCAACTATCAAGGCATGCTGAACCCAGTGGTACTGGCTTAAAAATATATACCTGAGTTGAGAGAATGAATGGAAAAGTAGTCGTATGTAAGCCTTTCAAACCCAGCAGAACTACAAACATAAGTCTCGATACTATAGTAGCCATTCTAAGATGCCTTGCCATACCTTACATCTATTTGATTGACAGCTCTTCGATCAGTCTGTAGGAGGAGATGCTTGACCCTCCGGTTCTTCTGTGATTAACTGAGCCACTTCCGCCATTTTCCGAACTTCAGCAGGCATCTTCTTCAACACTTGACGATGAAATTCTGCTGCAGCTTTCGCCGATGTTCTTGACAGCTGGCGCACCATACCGAAGTAAGCTGCTAGAACAAGCAACATGCCCTCGATTCTGTCGTTATCAAATGGCTGCCATGCACCGTTATCTCCAAGTAGTTCAACTATCGGTAGGAATGCACACCATGAATCATGGTAATCTGTATCATTTGGTTTGTTGTACCAGTCGTACTTCAGATCCTCGGCTCTGATTCTGTTGAAGAGGCAAACAAGAGGAGAAAGCGGCTGACGGGGACTTGTCGGCTTTGCTCTGGCGTCCAAGAGCCAGCGCAATCTCCGAAGCATCTCTTCTTCAAAGGATCGCGGCATATGGCTAACAGTATGGCATATTGCTAGTGTGCCAATGGGGCATTTGAATTTGGCCGGATGTGCATCTTGGTGAACCCATAACTTCCGTTCGGCTTCGAGATCAGAGTAGACGTAGTGCTCGCTCATGTCAAAGTCTTTCTGACCCATTACAAGGCCCAAACAATCTCGGAATTGGCGCAAGACTGCTTCATCAATGTCCGGAATTTGGCAGGCATAGAAAAAAGCTAACTGAAACTCGGATACCATCTGGAAACGATCCCGAGACGCCCGGCCAACGTTCCATGTCCAGTTGAGAAGTTCAGGAAGATTGCTCGACACGCTGTCCACGAGGAGTTGCAGATGCTCTGAACGAGCTGATGCTCGTTCAAGTAGTCGCAAATACGAACCCTGGGGTGCCACGGGCTTGGGGGCAGAATCGTCGATGATTTTCAATACACGCGTGATGTGAGCATGTGTTGACACACCATCGCTAGACACTTTGGCCAACAAGCGCCATTCAAGGCCAGTTCTCTGACAGCCTCTGTCTTTTTCCACAACAAAGCCCAGTGAAGGGGCTCGAGCGGTGTTTTCTTACACATCGGAATAATTCGCCGGTGATCCCACCCTGAACTATGTTTTGACACGGTTCTAGGGCAAAATCCAGAATGTACATCCGCTCCCAATTGGATGGCGTGACTGACCATGGATGCATTTGGCGCCAAGACAGCATAGTGTATTGGTGCTGCGTTCCCTTCGTCCTTGCTGTGGATATCCACTCCGAGGCCCTCGACAAGATGAGACATGATAGCTTTGTTTCCTGTTGCAGCTGCCGTGTGGATTGCAGCAAGATGTCCTGAGATGTCATTTTCTTGGTCTCGTAGGTGAGGATAACAATAAAACCGTCCGATAGCGCGTCCGCTTATGTTTCTGTTGTAAGGGCGCTTATACCATCTTCCAGACGATTGCGGCACGCATAAGTTGCCATATGAGGCCCCAACACAAAGAAGCAGCCTGGCAACTGAGGAATGGCCCTTGCAGATGGCGTAATGGAGAGGTGTCCAAGCTGGATAATCCCCTAGATATCGTGTGGGGTTCGTAGGGTCCTGGACGACGAGAGGCAAGCACTCGCAGCAGAACCTTGCAGGTGCTTCAATATCGACATCCTCATCGAGAAGCCACGCGACGACGTGGTAGTGGCCATTCATCGCGGCGACATGCAATGGAGTGGCCCAGCCCGCATCGGGCGGTGTGAAATCGGGCTTGTGGCTCAAGGGGCCGTCTCGTGCCATCATCTCTTCCCACAGTTTCAACACCCACTCGAAGGGTTCAGCAAGCGGAGTGATTTTGTTGAAGGCTGCACCGTAGCGTTTTGCTTTCTGCAATGTAGCAAGATTTCCCTCGGCAGCAGCGAGAAGAACCGCGTCTTGGATCCGCCCTTCATCCACTGCGCTGTTGTACAGCTTGGGTTCGCACACATAACGGAGTTTGTGGTTGACACGCGCCATCGCGGCCAGGCTTTTGGGATTAGTGACATAGCTGGCGATATGCTCCCAGGTCTCTAGAGGAATCTCATCGGCCTTTTGCCACCAGAACACAGATCCAGGCTAGTTATCCATCGTTGGGCATAGTGGATATCACAATGGATGGGTTGTGCTGAGGCATTGGTCAGTCTACGGGTGAAATCTAGGTCGCGGTCGGCCCTGAGTGACTCACAACGCGAGGTTGATACGGCTTCGAGTGTGAGGTGAAAATTGACCCTCTCCCTTTGACTGAGAGAAAAGTCCAAGTTACCGTGATTGATTTATGTCGTAGCCAACTGCTTTTGTTCCGTTCAAGGGATCAAACGCGGGTGTGCTGCGCCGCAAACGCGTTGCCTCAAGCGCGTTGGATGACGGGAGTACGGCGTGCGAGCGAATTCTTAAGCCAAGGGATACTTAAGAAAGACGTACATGGATCGGATTAAAGTGGAATCGGATTTGTGACGAGTTGGCCAGCATGCAGTTTAGAAGTCAATCCGAGGCTGCTGTGTGGTGCAGAGTAGGTGTCTAGGGCCGCAGGGGCAGTCGCGAACGCGAACACGAACGGGATCTACAACCGGCAAAGTGGGACCGCCGTTGATGATGCCAGTACCATTGAATGAGTTGATATGAATAGCCCAGGTCCAATTCACAGTAAGGAAATACAACATCTTAGGTATGCGAGATGGGCCGGTATGTGCTCAAATTTCATAGCAAAAACGATAGATCTGGCAAAACGGTGAGAGATGACAGTGTTGAATGTTTCATTTTCCAGCTTAGTCGCTGCGGGGCCCGAATCGTTCTAAAATCTTCCGGGCCCGCCGCGGCAGCGACGACCATGTTCCGTTTTTGATCTTCTCTCGCATCTTAGGATCTATTTCCTTGTTCTTGCCGTATTCCGTGTTGTACCCAACGATGTATCCATACTTGTGGAGTAAGCCGTTAGGACTCGTCCAGTCCGTTTCATCATCGTACGCTCCATGGCAGCCTAGAAGTCGTAAAATCTCGATCAACCCGCCACTATTGAAATCTAACCTCTGTGGAAGATCAGGGCCCCAGTTCCCCTCTCTGAATCCATAATCATCTAGAACTTGATTTAAAAGCTCTCTCAAAGCTATTTCCAGACTGCTCCACCTACCATTGCAGACCGAAGCCCCATTCTGCAACAGGAAGTGGACAATGGGAGCCGAGTCGGTCCATGTTCTATGGGACTTCCAATAGATGTAACGGCATGATCTGAGAATTACTTGCAAGGCCATTATGGCTGCATTGATATTTATGGAGAGGGAGGTCAAGCGCCTAGGCAGCGCCCTTAAGGCACTGATCTGAAGATCAGTGATCTTGATGTATTGTAAGATGACTCCAAGTCAAAATCACCGTCTTCACACATCTGGAAGAATCCTTCAAAGAGGATTTCTAAACAGCCTTCCGCTGATACTTGTCGTGGCACAGTTTCCACTGTTTTCCTTGCTGCCATCAGAAAAGCCACCCGTTTGAGACCGACCTGTTCCGGTCCAACTCTGTCACTAGTATAATCACGCCCTCTCCACTCATAAATAAGTCGCGTTAACAATGCATCAGGTACTCTGATAAGATCAAGGGACCAGTACATCCTTTTATAATACCACTCTCAGACTGGAGAGCCGTGCTTCATCAACTCAACAGCTAATGCAGGATGCCTGAATCCGAATGCTGTAACAAGAGGGGAATACACCGACGTACGCATGCGATCATTCTAGCCTAATGCCACTAAGTCAAAGCACCCACTTCTGGCCCACCCCTGCTCCTGGCCCACCCAAAAAATGATGCCATTACAACAACCACCACTTTATTAATCAACTATCAACTGGGCATCTCTGCCACTATTATACAGCTTTCGGCCTCACTAGGG